ATGCGCGGTCACTCCTAGAGCTGGCTCAGGACCAACGAGCTTGCTGGCTGATACTGTCTTCGCCAGAGTTTCCGCCGTCTCATTGCCCCTTATCCCAGCATGCCCCGGTACCCACATTAACGATACCGGATGCCTCGCTGCGAGGCAATCTAGAGCCTCCCTGCGTTGGAATACAAGAGTCGAAGTAATCTTACAGGCACTTAGTGCTTTCATTGCGGCCTGGCTGTCGGATAAGATTGTTATTCTTCTCCTAGGCCCACCCTAATCCAGAATGTGAGATACACAAGCCAGAATCGCGAAGATTTCCGCCTGGAAAATAGTGGTGTATCCACCGAGAGGCAGATATAGCCTAGTTCTAGGCCCAGAGACCCCAGCACCTGAGCCCTATTCGGTGACCGAGCCGTCCGTGTACCAGACCTGTCCGCTCACTCCGGAGAGTCTCCGGCTACCGGCGTCCCACTTCTCCCTCGTTGGATACTCCACAATAAACTTGCGGTTGAAGCGCATTTTAGGGGTAATACGATCACCCCTGCTTAGAAGGAAGGGGTCCCTTTGCAATTCGAATAAGATGGCAGTATGCCCCTTGACAGGATTCAAGAAAGCCCAGCTGCCCTGACTCCACAGTGGATGAGCGACTACTCTAGCTTCACCGCGGATCACCAGATCCAACGGTGGGAGATCCAGCAGAGCTTCCATTGCACTTAATGGCGTTGTTCGCACTGCGCTTGTAATGCCAAACGCTGAATTTTATTGAGTTTGGCCTTAGTTGTCTTAGTTCTAATGCAAGGCCACCAGACAAGGGAGCCATACAAAGGAGATGGACGTACTATTGTCGTGTAGAGCCAGTATACCACTTTGGGTTTAAGCCCCCACCTTACACCGACAACACGTCCACAGGCCCACATGGAATTGCGAGCCTTGCTAACCTTGTATCCAACAAGCCCTCTGCAGTGCAGTTTGCAATCCAGGATACTTCCCAGATATTTCACTGATTGGGATAGAATTAATCTAGTCCCAAAGAAGGTCAGCATGACCAGCCCGTCAAGCATTCTTCTCCTAGTGAATAGGATTAGCTCGGTCTTTTCAGCATTAACAGAAAGATCGACTTCCCTACACAACGATTCCACAGAACGCAGAGCGCCCTGCATAATTTCCGAGACTGTTCTACAAAAACGTCCTCTCACTCAAGGTTACCACTATGCCAGGTAAACAATAGTTGTAGTTTTTGAAAATCGGTGCAGTGGCGGCGAAGCTAAGAGCAACTAAAGTAGAAATCGTCCAAACTTTGTTTCTTGACGTTTCAAAGGCACTTGATAATTATTAGAAAAATTCTCATAAGTAATGACATACCAGCAAAATATAGACTAAATATAATCAGCCCGTGAAGAAATTATTGTAATCGGCCAATAAATGACAGAGAAATTGATACTTAAATTTGGCGCATTATAGCGCGAAATCATTGCTTCCGTTCGTTCGCGTCTGACGTCACACTTCTCTAGTGCCCAGCTTCTCGTCGCGTAGGTGTTCGACAACGACTGTGCGTTTAATCATTAGTCTATAGACAATTGATAAGACACACCTGTGCTCTCGGACACGTGGTTTGGTCACACATCATAGGTTTTCCAGTACAGTTGCCCTTAAAGCGAAGTGATGGAAAAATACTTTCGGCAGACGCGCCTTTGCGTCGTTTGTCTCAATCCGGCCGACAGGTCGCAACCGGTAGTGGCTACCAATTGGCTGGCGTTCACGTACTGCCCTGGACTATAATAGCTATTTTCGAGTTCTAAGTTCAGTACTGTCACAGAACTCTCTAGATCTCTAGAGCAGTTATGAAGTGCCCGTGAACTATCAGAGTTTTGCAAAAACCCGAACAGCCTGAACCTAGGACTACGGCAACAATTACTATTTTGCTTAGTGCTACGCGCGGCACTGGGTCTTTAGGAAGTTGATTTGCTGGATAAAAAATATCGTACTTAAAATGTTCAACAAACTGTTTGTCAGTATAGGATGGAACAGTTTCCTCAGAGAAATTATTATTTTTGCTCACATCTTTGAGAAGGTCTGGCAAAAATAAGTTGGGAGTAACTGATTCAAGTTCGTCATCACTGCCAGATGACGATGATGATGACGAATCAGAATCAAAAATGATCTGCATTGAATCCGTTTGTCCACTTTTCTTTTAATTTTAAATAAAAAACACTCCTGAAACCGCGCAAAAAAGTAAACAGTATTTAAAGCAAAACACGTCAAATAATTTTAATGACATTAGCCGAAGGAATACGCATGCGTGAAAAATCAGTTCAAAAATGGTCCCGGCATTAAAGCAAGAACTACTTGAACGATTCTCGAACCAACCTAGAACTGAACCAGGATATAACTCGAACACCAAATTTCAGTTCTAAAACGTTCCGATAGTAATGCAACAGAAACCGAACACGTCGGTTTCTTCTGCGCAGGCTCCTTATAGTTCTAGATAAAAACCGGAAGAGACCTATTCTCTCATCCACGCGAGCTTAGTCATAACAATGTTCATGTGCGCCCGCCCAAATGTTTCTCAGTGGGGAGGGAAAGGGGGTATTCACCTAACGATCTCGTGAAAGTGTGCCTGCTTTTTTGAAGAGGGGTACCAAATTTTTAAAGGGGGAGGGTAGGGGGAGTAAAAATCTTAAAACTCCTCAAAATTGTATACAAAAGCTTGCAAAACTTTAATTGAATGGGCCTGTTTGACCGACTTGATCTATCTAATTTTATGTTATATATCACCGTAGCTTAAAAAAACACCTGAACCTCCGCTACAAGCAACATTATTGATTGGGAAGATTTTCAAAGCTATCGCTGCATAACAGAAATATGATGTATAATCATGTCTTAAAGCCAGTGTTGTAAAGTATGGGTCTGTTCCAAGATCGAAATTAGTCAGACACTCCAAAATAGATATAAAAAATAAATAAAGTTCTGAAATGCCCCTTGATATGTTCATAATAGGGATATTCATCGCGATGTGAATATCTCTCTGGTCATCGACGAGATCATGAAAGTAGTGGCAAGGCACGAAGAAAGGCTGCATCAACATCCCAATGCAGAAACTTTTTAGCTGCTGGACAACCTTAATACCGTCCGATGATTGAAGAGGTCCAACCCATATGAATGAAGTTGGGTAGTGTTTTGCTTTTAAAGCAGAACCCATTGCGCGAGTACCTAGTGACAGTACAAGATTGCATAAATGGCATCAACGCACTTTCAGTGATAACTATTAGTTGTGAGAGGACACAATGGTTGATCAAATTGGCCAGTTTTGATATTTCGGCATGAAAGCCACTCTGAAAACAAAAAACAAAAATTTTCTTAACTAACCTTTTTTCATTTCTTTGTGACAAACATGATACTTTGTGAACTGACGTCAGCGTTGCGTAGGAAGTTCAGAGTCAACCTACTTGACGCCATTTTTTATACATTATAGATTTACAATATTAATGTAAAATATAAATTTCTGAAATCAAAATTAATCACTCTTATTCACCTGTACAAAAATGCAATCTAATATTCTCAAGAAAACATAAAATGATGATTGAGGTCAGGAGACCAAATGTCAGATTGAAATTATGACGAATTGTAGAGGAGAAAAGGTGGCAATGTTGATGTACAATTTATTATGAAATTGCGTCTCAAATAAAGTTCACAAAAATAGATATGGTTTTGGGGGATTCAAAGTGTTTCGCCTATTTCCGGACATACTCTGTACCGCGAAACTTTGTAAGTGCCACGATTTTAGTTAGGTACGTAAATGCTCAATCGATTCCATATATCTATATATAGTAATAATAATAAATGGCCTTTATTCATCACACGATTACAAAATAATTGGTTAAAAGGAACAGTGACGAAAAGGTGGAGTGTCAGCTTATGCTGTTTTTCAATCTGACCTGGAAAACATTGACACAAACTATAGAGAGAGAGAAAACAAAAACTTAGAATATAACACCTATCAGAGAAAGGAAACAATCAATTATTACCTGTGGATATGCATGAAGTAAAATTTTAGCCATCCGACTGCTTTAAACTCATCTTTAACCTTTTTTTAAAATTGCTTAGGCTATATTCTTTATACTCACTTGATAAGCAGTTATATAGTTTCGGTGCCCAGTACGAGAAACTGCATGTGAACAATGCTGTCGAATGCCGCGGGATGAGTAAGATGAGTTTATTCCTAGAGGATCTTTGATCGTACTGGCAGAGGAGGCTTAGTTTTGTATAAAGATAATTTGGCGCTTTAAGGATAAGGGTCTCTATGTACCAGAGATAGGCAATGCAGTTTCCTCAATTTGTTCATCTTAAACTATCCCGATTGGTCAAAAGCGCTACTAATATGATCAAATTTACGGATTCCATAAGAAAATCTGATGCATGAGTTTTGTATATATCTTACCGCTTTCGAGATACCATCACTGAGTGTCGAATGTGAAACGCCCGGTATAAGATTTCACACTTTTATTGCGGATCCGAGTTCTTTCGCTGTTTCAGTTAGTTTTACTTTAACTGACTTTTCAATACAAATGGGAGCATCCCGTCTATATTTTGACTTTTATATTGTAAGTGCAATACTACTGGTATTATACAAATTGCCACTGACACTAACTCTTTTCTGCTTATAAAAGATCGCACAGAAGCAGAAATGATAGAAAATACAAACCCTTGGGTGACACACAGCTACTCAATATTTTCGAAATTTCCCCAATAGTATCACGTTGCCGCCGATTTGGCTTATTATCGCTGTTACCGTGAAATGTTATATTGCTGGTATTATACTTTTGATAACAGAATATTGACCACGTATACCATTACAGATCCAACTGAAACTCAATGCACTTTTAAATATGTGCAACCTACAACCTTCGATTAATAGAAGTTTTGATAAAGTTTTTCATTCGTACAAACAACATACAAATAGTAGAAACGCCAAAACCTATCAGAACATATTAATTTACTAATTTCATACTTACTTTCATCAAAGTCAAATACTTTTATGCGGGGAGGCTTCATTTTGCCCCAGAGGTCCTGAAAAATAAATATTTATTTACGTAGGAGTATCAAAAAGTTTAAACCTGTAACGAACCAACAGATGGAAGCTCCAAGCTAACTTCACAAAGTTATGTGCAAATTTTTTTTTGTCGCTTTTGTATTATACGTACTTTATTCAGTATTTTTGTACCCACCGGATTAGCTCCGTTCGGATTTTAATGTTCGCTCTTTGCCCAAACATTAAGTAGATACATGATGAAGTCGCCGACAGAGGACATCAAGCGGGCACGCAAACAGTAAGTGAAATTCTTGTAAAACAAAAGCGATGAAGGAACTTCGCACACTACTTTGTGAGGGTGGGGCTGATTTATGTACCTCGAACTACTATCTGTTGGTAAGTCACACATCTAGTCCGGAACCTTTTTGATACACCCTTGTATTTATTATGAATACTTAAGATCATTGAATTCGAATAAGCCATGTACAAAAACGGTAAAGTGATAACTCTAAGCTAAAAAGAATATTATGAACAAAAATCGAATCCAAAATATGGATGAGGTATGAAAGAGTGATTTTCGCTTACATATTGCCAGAATACAAAGAAAGGCAACTATTCTTGCGGACACTCAGATGAAAAACAAAGGGCAATAGTGGGTACGTCCGCAGTGAAGGAACAGGAGCAGAAGTAAAAGGATTGGTAACCCGAGCGACGTACGTTTCTGCCTATTGGCTTCATCAAGCCCAAATAGATGTGCATCGAAAATATCATATGTTCATCACATCTGGATACGCGCTTAACTTCAAGGAAAGCAAGGATAGAAAGAGATAGGCAACTAGCAGCCACCAACAAGACGAAGCCGCAAATATGCCTGCTGGCTCTTGTTTGTGGCTTCTATACTAAGTGACATATAAATCCGAACACCCAATTTAAAAGGTTTTATTTTAATAAAAGTTGGTGAATGTATTTATCTTACTGTAAATAACAAGTGAAAAAATTTTCAGCCTTATCAGTTGGACATTCCGGTTTTTATACTGCTTTTTTTTAATTCACTAAAAATGAATATTTCAGCCGCAGTAAAGAATCAACGTTGGCGGATTTTGGTTCTTGACATCCTTTACGATCGGTTACGATGCCTAGAGTACGGAGACCTGTACGATTTCGTCAACTTAGTGAGTTTGATAGGGGCCATATAGTGGGACTTCGGGAAGCTGGACTTTCTTTTCGGGCAATTGCAGTTAGAGTGCAAAGAAGTGTAGACACTGTGGTTAGGTGTTGTCAGGCATGGCTTCGAGTAGGCCGTACGCAAAGAGCAAGGGGCACTGGACGCCGCCGTAGAACAACAGACCGTGAAGATCGCTGCCTAAGATTATTGGCCTTAAGGGACCGTTTTCTCCACTACCAGGTCCATTGCAAATGAATGGTTTGCAGAACACGGAAGGCCTATTGGCATGCGAAGTGTTTACTGACGAATGAGAAGTTTTGGCTTGTTTTCATACCGGCCGCACTGGGTCCTCCCTTTAACTCGAGAACACCGACGTAATCGCCTTGAGTGGTGCAGACAACGGTCACTCTGGGATCAGGAATGGAACAGTATTGTCTTTAGTGACGAGTCTCGATTTTGTTTAGGCATGCACGATGGTCGTGCCAGGGTTAGAAGGCGACGTGGTGAAAGGAGGAATCCACATATTTTTGTTGAAAGACATGTTCATCACACTGTTGGAATTATGGTTTGGGGTGCTATAGCTTATGGTTCCAGGTCACCTTTAATCTTCATCAGAGGTAACATGAACGCGCAGCGTTATATCCACGAAGTTCTAGAACCCCATCTTTTACCCTATCTTGAGACCCTGGCAGATCCAACTTTCCAAGAAGATAATGCCCGACCACATGTTGCAAGAGTCACAACAGACTTCTTTCAACATAATGATGTCACATTGTTATCATGGCCACCAAGATCTCCCGACTTATCCCAAATTGAGCACATGTGGGATATGATGGGTAGGAGATTGCTCAATTTGCAACGTCCTCCTCAGACTCTAGAAGCACTTCGAGAGGAGTTGGTGGTTGCCTGGAATGAGATACCACAGGAGGACATTGACCACCTGATCAGAAGCATGCCTAGGCGCGTTGGAGAATGCGTAACACATCAGGGTGCATCCACACATTATTGAAGTTCAAAGGGCTTTAAAGCAGTGCAATCATTTTGAAATTTTTATCTTTTACTTATTATGTTTCATTAAGTACTTATACAAAATTTTATTAAAATAAAACCAATTAAACTGGGTGTTCGGATTTATATGTCACTTAGTATAGTTGTATTTGACTTTCCAAGTTATACACCGGTATCCAGATATGTTGGGAATATGTTCTCGCTTCGGTGTGTTCGATGCACATCCATTTGGGCCCGATGAAGCCAATAAGCAGAAGCGTACGTCGCTGGGATTACCAACCTTTCTGTTTCTGCTCCTGTTCCTTTATAGCGGACACGGTCTTTTGCCTTTTATAAACAAGAACTAACGTGATAAACGCAAAATCGTAAATCTTGATATATCTAGGGCACAAGGAACAAAATTGGATTTATTCACAGGTAAAATTAATACCGCATCATAAGAAATAAAAATAATAAATTCATCCCATAAACTCAATGCATAAGTGTGCGGTAAAAAAAGATTCATATGAATAAATGATTCAGACTGTAGTTGAAAGTCTAATCGCGCGGTGTTTCTTTACATAATCTATGAATACGTGAATACAAACAACTTAAATTTCAAAAGTGCATCTCATCTTTATAGCTAGCACCTAGTGTGTCGGTGGTACTTTGCAGCAAGCTATTTTGTAGTGAACGTACTCCTTTTGTTTTGGAGAACATTGGGTTATATTAAGGGGTTGCATTCATCACTATATATAAAAGTCGGAATAAATACAAAATTATCAGTATTAATGATATTCATTAGAAAATCTAGAAAATATAAAATTGAAATAACAGTAACTCTAGTAGGACCAACAGGCACTGTGATTATCTTTAATACAACAGAGATAATTGCTACAGCATTCTGTCACATATAGGTCACAGACAATTCAAAGAATCCCTTTTCCTTCAAACACTGTGTTTTCACTCCCTCATCGCTTCAGTTCCTTTTTCTTTACAGATTTTTTCTAGAAAAGCTGATCACATATTTGTATGATATAATCCAAATGTTACCTTTGGCGTCTCGATATGGATAATTGTTTAGAAGCTGTAGCAAATCCAGATCATCCTTTAAAGTCTGCCTCGTACCAGAAGTAAACAATTTATTACGTATTCGTTCTACCAAAAAGTTGTGGTTTCAAAGATATCCAGAAAACAAAATTTGAAGAAGCCTGCGATTTCTAAGAACTATTAGAGGTGGTAGGCATTCTACAGAATAAAATTGCTCTTGTCGATTAGCAAATCGGCTCGGCAATAATTTTTAATGATCACTGACTCACAAAGTGGAAAGTTTGAGAGGCATTCCCAGAAATCGGTATCTCTTGATGAAAAAAACATTATTTATGCTGAATACGATTGTCTAGTGTGAGCACTTAAGACCTTTTTGAACTACCGCATCTATTGGCAATCATCAACACGGCTCAGAAGCTTTCTACGGACCAACGTAGAGAAAAGTATCCTATGTATGTGGCACTTTTGATCTCGAACTTTGTTAGGCTTCGAATATTAAATATTCCTAGCTCCAGAATTTTTGTCTTCAATCCGTACAAAAGTTTCCTGTCTACTAGTTTTCTGAGTTCGCTGTGTGTATCTGTTTCTCCATCTCTTATTTATTTCCTTTCTGTTCTACTGTTATATTCCATTTCTCATTATATAAATATACGGAAATTCCTTTAACTTTTTCTACGGCAAGCCGTTCCCTAAGTGCTTTCTTGATGCATTCCTCCTTTTTTTTAGGTCATTACTTATGAATATCTTGTTATGTTCCAACTGACTTTTCCTAGCTCTTCATGATATCTCACTTGAATTTGAAATTATACACTTAAGCAGTATGTAAATCATTTTTGATTTTTATAGCTCGATCTTGGTTTTCACATTCAAATGCTGCTTGAGTAGTTTCTCGACGTTTTTGAAACTCTCTTCGTTATCTGAACACATGGCCCTTAATCCGGTCACAAGTAGGTTATTCTTCCCCTTTGTCTTATTCTCTTGCTAGATGTTTCGTTCTTTATGTCTAACTCTGCATTTTTGATACCTTTGATGGTTTCTTATATGCCAACTTCACACCGGTCACTTATTATCTACCTTTTCCACAGTTCCATCACCATATTGCCGAAACTACGAATCAAACAATTTGTCGCTGCTCTTAAATTTGTTCCTAGACTACATTTGGATATCCACAATTGGGGATCAGACAGTTTTCAAGAGGTAAACCACTTTCGGCCATTTGTATTCATATACAACTTTGACACAATTTTGACAAGCCACATCGGTGATAGAAAATTCTAAATACTGAGTGTGCAATGACTTGGAGAAAGAAAAAGGATGAAGATGAGACTGTAAACATTAGCTGTGATTCTATTATGTCAACGCAAGAAACATGTGAGTACTTGAAAAAACAGAATAAATTATTACAACAGGAGTTATTATAAAAAACGAAAGATTTAGAAAATTATCAAGCATGACTTTTGGAAAAAGAAACATTAATATACCACCTATCAAACGAAAACCGAAGACTTCAAGAACAATATGATCTTATTTCTTCAAATATTACCAATAGGGACTGTATAATAACACCACTTGAGACACTCCTTAGGAGAATTGAGAAGTTAGAGGAAACAACAACAAAAAATTCCACATATGCCCAAGCAGTTATAAATTCACCATCAAAGAGTAAAGAAAGGACACTTAAAAGTCTTATCATTACCCCTGAACAACAATAGTCTAACTACAGAACTAAGAACGAGCTGAGCAGAAATTTGAATTTATTAAAAATAAACATCAAAATTGAAACTGTTAAGAACTCTAAAAATGTTTAATCCTAAAATAAAGATTGTTGGCTACCAC